ACTAATCTATCTATTAACCTATCTGAGTCCCAATTGTGTAAGAAAATGTATGAGGAAAATAAAATCTCTTTGCAGGAACATTCTGAAGACTAAGGATGATCTATTTCAAAGTATTTAGCATAGAATAGGCACTCTATGAACAGCAGATATTATAATTCTTATGAGTCTGCCCTCAGACGGGTACCATCCTGCTATGTATTGAAGAACTCATGTTCATGAATATATATATATATTTTTTTTGTGAGAGAGATCAGCCCTGAGCTAACATCCGTGCTAATCCTCCTCTTTTTGCTGAAGAAGGCCGGCTCTGAGCTAACATCTATTGCCAATCCTCCTCCTTTTTTTTTCCTTCCCCAAAGCTCCAGTAGATAGTTGTATGTTATAGTTGCACATCCTTCTAGTTGCTGTATGTGGGACACAGCTTCCGCATGGCCGGAGAAGCGTTGCGTGGGTGTACCCTCAGGATCCAAACCTGGGCTGCCAGTAGCAGAGCGCCCGCACTTAACCGCTAAGCCAACGGGCTGGCTCATGAATATTTTCTAAGCAATAGAAGTAGGAAATTTTTTCTCTATTATATTTCACTACTTTGCAGAAAAACATAATTTGGTATTATAAAAATTATTCTTATAAATAATGTTTGTATAGTGACATAGTTTATAAAATACCTTTATTATTTAGGACTATACTCTAAAAATATTCCCCAAGTTAGCCATTTGTTGCTGTATTGCTCCAATCATTATCCTTGCAACCCATTCTACCATCAAGATGCTTAATAATTAACAATAATGATAACCTGCAAATATTAAGGTGGCTATTAAAAAAAGTTAAATATGTTATTATCATAGGCCTATATTTTTAGAAGTCCTTGACAGTTGAAATTAGTCAAATGAAATTGAGCAATTGATCACAGATTCTCCATCTCAGCAGCAGATCTTGGAAGTAGAAGTCTCCTCTGGGTGGGCTTTGACAAAAGACAGTTATGAAAGTGGTTTCTTAATTTCTCTTTGACTTCTTGAATATTGTTAAAAGTATCAACTGGGTTGCCTGCTCTCATTCAGGTTAGATTACAATTTTAAAAAATCTAGTAGATGGTTTCTGCAACTTATCACATAAACAAATGAAAAGAAAAAATATGGGTAACTTTCTTAAATCTAAATACATGCATAGGTCATATGCTGAGATTAATGACTTATTACCTAACCTTAGTAGGAATGCAATTAAATGCCAAGAAATTGGGCCGGCCCCGTGGCTTAGC